GGAGTGAGGCCAGAGGAGGCCACGGAGATGCTGCAAGGGCTGGAGCAGCTCTGCTCTGGAGCCAGGCTGAGAGAGCTGGGCTGGGGCAGCCTGGGGAAGAGAAGGCTCCTGAAGGGGAGACCTGAGAGCAGCTCCAGTGCCTAAAGGGGCTGCAGGAAACCTGGAGAGGGGCTTGGGACAAGGGATGTAGGGACAGGCCAAGGGGAATGGCTTGAACCTGCCCGAGGGGAGACTGAGATGAGCTCTTAGGCAGAAGCTCTTCCCTAGGAGGGTGCTGAGGCGCTGGCACAGGGTGCCCAGAGAAGCTGTGGCTGCCCCATCCCTGGCAGTGCTCAAGGGCAGGTTGGACACAGGGGCTTGGAGCAAGCTGCTCCAGTGGAAGGGGTTGGGGTTGGAACTGGAGGAGCTTTAAGCTCCCTTCCAACCCAAACTAGGCTGGGAGTCTGAAATCCCCCCCCAAGCCCCAAGCAAAGAGCACTGAGCAGCTGCTCCACAGCAGCAGCACAAAGGATGCTCTCTCTGTAATTAAAACACGCACCAAGGGATTCACTCACCACCGAGCCCATTATCCCCATGCAGCCTCCCACTGTGCCCTGTCACCAAGGGGACACTGGCCCTGGAATAGGATAAGCAGGTCTGCTGTGGTCCCTATGCACGGGTTTCCTGTTGCCTTCCCTGTGGAGCCACAGCCCGTGTTCGAGGGCCTTTACTCACGCACAGACCCTCAAGCTTGTCAATCAGCACCACTTACACGCTGCAAGAGCTCACCAAAGGGATGAGCATCCTCTTGGATCCACCCCGCTGCTTGTGCGAGCTCAGCCCCTGCTCCCGCTTCCCCCCCATCCAGAGGACCAGGATGAGCAGAGAGAAGGAAGACAGAGCAATGGCAGAGTCCCAGTGCCGCTGCTGCTTCATTAACATCTTTATTAGCTGGAACAAGTGCCGGGTCACAGCCTGCTCGTGTTCGAGCTGTGAAGGAGTTTGCTTTCTAACCCCCTGTAATTACTGCTGTTAGGCTCGGGGAAAAGTCACCATTGGAGATGAAATTTCCCCAGGCTTGGCCTCAGCCCCGGCTTTAATTTGTATAAAAGGCTCGTGTGAGGAGGGAAGAAAAGCTTCCCCCTTCGGTGGGAGGGGAGAATGAGAAATGCCCATTTTCTCCCCATCCACAGAAGCAAAGGAGGGTAATGACTCCTTTCGGAGCAGCGGGGAAGCCGAAGCGCCTGGGAACTGAGCACTGCAATTTGGCAGCAGAACCTGCCCTCTCCCAGGAGCCCCGTGTGGAACATGCACAAAGCAATGTGGGTTGAGGTGGTGGAGCTCTGGCCGTATGGGGGATGCGGCTCAGGACCAAGGAGCTCCCTGTCCCCGGTGCTGCAGGAAGGATCCGGGAAGGATGCTCCAGGCTGGAGCTGTGGTTTCCCCAGTGAGGTTGGGAGCCAATGTTGGGAGATGGAGCCAAAACCTGAGCCAAGCCTTGGGGGACACCCATGGTCCCCATGGTGCTGTCCCAGTACAGCCCAGTACCATGCTGGAGGCATGGGAGCATCCCCAGTACAGCCCAGTACCATGCAGGAGGCATGGGAGCATCCCTTTGCCCTGTGGTCAGGATGGAGGGGGTCACGCTGGGCTGGGCTCAGGATGCCCAGGGCTTTGGGGTACCCAGGGGGTTGGGGAAGCAGGAGCTGCAGTTACCATGGGGTTCAGGACACCCAGGGGTTTGGGATGGAAAGGACTCCAGTTAGCCAGGTGGTTGGGATAGGAAGGGCTGAGGTTGCCCAGAGCTTCGGGATGGCAAGGATCCAGTTGCAAGGGATTTGGGATACCCAGAGGGTTGGGGTGGTAGATGCTGCAGTTACCCAGGGGTTCAGGGTACACAGCAGTTTGGGATGGCAAGGGCTGAGGTTGCCCATGGGGTTGGAACGGCAGGGACCCAGTTGTCCAGGGATTTGAGATACCCAGAGTGTTGGGATAAGCAGGAGCTGAGGTTGTCCAGGGGGTTGGGATGGCAGGTATTGTGTTACCCAGGGATTTGGGATACCCAGAGGGTTGGGATAAGCAGGAGCTGAGGTTGTCCAGGGGGTTGGGAGGGCAAGCTGCTTTGGGATGGCAAGGGGCTGAGTTGCCCAGAGGTTTTAGGGGTAGAGGTTTGTGGGTGCAGGGGTTTGCAGGGTCTGGTGTTGGGACAGGACTGGGGCCAGCTCCTGTCTCCACCACAGGGAGGCAGGGAGTGATGGGTGACAGCAGGGCGAGTGCGATTTGGGTCTCACCTCCCGCACACCCACCCCACCAACCCCGGCTGAGCTGGGGCCGACTCTCTCCCTCCCTCCACAAGGACCTGGCAAGGCCGGGATGAGCACCCCTGGGAGCCGACGCCAAGGCAGGAGCCCGTCTGGTGTCAGAGGCTCACGTGTGGCACCCGTTGAGGCACCGGAGCCGGCTCCGCCGTGAGTCAGCAGCGATTCACACCCACTTGGCCCCCGGTGGAAGCGAGCGGCTGTGTGGGAGCGGGAGGTTACGGTGCTGCTGCTGCCGGGATGCCTGAGCGTGCGGGGACCGGGAGCTTGGAGCTCGCTGAAGTGTGTGTGGGAAGCGAGCGGAGAGAAGCGGAGTGAAAGCAAGGGTTTGTGCCAAGGGTTTAATGAGAAGGTTCCCACCAAAAGGAGGGAGGGGAGGGGGGAAGGAACAGAGGAAATCAAAGTCAAGCTCTGGAGAAGGGAAGGGCAGAGGGATGCTGCCTCCTTCCCAGCCCATCCGCAGCCTCCTGGTGCCGGGAGCAGGCTGGTGGCTGGTCCCACTCGCTGGAAGAGCTTCTCCCCGGGTGCCTGTGCAGAAGTTTGCCTGGCACATGGCTCCCCAGCGAGCCACATCGGCTGCCAGCACCCGCTTTCCTGGCACTCAGCCCCAAGATGGGTTGTGGCTGGCCCAGCTCCGAGGGGCTGGGAGAAGTCCCCGGTCCCCCGTGGTGGGTGACGTGCCAGAACAGGCTATGAGGAGCCTGCAGAGTGAGTCAGGCGCACGAGACTGGGTCCCTTATCACCCACGCGGCCTCGCTGCAACAGGCAGCAGCCAGTGCTGGCACCCCACCGACAAGGGAGCCAATGGTGCCGGGTCACGCTCCCCTCCAGCTCAGCCCCATGCCTAAAACCAGTCCCTGATGGTTCAGGTTTGCCTCTTCAGGCCTTAAACATCATTATAAGGAGATATTCCCCGCTTAGCTCCCTGCTCAAAACCCAGCCTGGGGGCATGGAAAGTCGAGGTGTGGTCCCAAGAGCCACCATGGTGGTGGTTTTCTGGCTCTTCCCAGCACAGTATCGCTCCAGAGAGCTTCCACCTGATCCCCTCTATCCCGCAAGGCCACTCTGGGTTCTGCTCCTTGAGGTTTGCACAAGCGTCCCAGCCCCATTGCCCTGTGCTGGGGTGGGTCTCTGACCTCCTCACCCCAGCAGAAGGGGTAAAGCGGGTGCAGCCCCCAGTCCTCACCCACCAGCATCCTCCCCTGCCTCACTGCATCCCTCCAGGGGCACCTCCTGTATCAGATCTCGGGGTCTCTCTTGCACCAGGGAACCCCCAGGCCAGCAGGGCTGGAGGTGGAGGCGCACACCCCTGAGCAGCTCTCCCGTTTGTTTGCCTCTCTAACAGCAAACGTTGAGCAAGCAATAAACGCCCGGGCACAAATTGCCTTTGCGTGCTGGGAGGGGGAGAGAACGGGAGCCAGCTCACGGCTCGCACCCGCTCCAGGACTCCAGGCCGGGTTTTCCGCCGCCCGCAGTGCCCGCCGCGCCGGCAGTGCCCCAGCAGCGGCCGCCGCGCCCCGGCACCGGGAAGACCCGGCCTGGATCAGAGCGGAGCGGAGCAAAGGAGAGCCGGCGGGGGTGGCTCGGGACGCGGTGGCAGTGGGGGGGACGGGGACACGGGACGCTCTGCTTGGACCTCCCTGGTGTGGAGGTCCCGTGTGCCGCGCTCCGTGCTGCCATGTGCGTGTGCAAGACCGCGTGTGCCCGCGGCCGTGCGTGTGCGAGGTGTGGGAGTCTGTGTCCGTGTGTGCGTGAGTGGAGCCCATCTGTGCTCACGGGTGCGTGTGTGCGGGGCTGCGGGTGTGTCCCCGCGGGTGGCACCCCCTCCGTGGTCAGTGCAGGGCTCCGTGAGCGCGTGTCCTTAATCCGTGGCCAGTGGCCACGCATGGGGCCATAGCGGGGCCGTGTTCCCCCTTCTCCTTGAGCGGTAACGATGTCTCCTCCTTACATCCATCCATCCACCCATCCATCCATCCATCCATCCATCCATCCATCCATCCATCCATCCATCCATCCATCCATCTATTTACCCCTCCATCTCTCCATCCATCCAACCCTCCATCCATCCCTCCATCCACCCCTCCATCTCTCCATCCATCCATCCCTCCATCCATCACTCACTCCCTCCCTCCATCCATTGATCCCTCCATCCCTCCATCCATCCCTCTTTCCATCCATCCATCCATCCATCCATCCATCCATCCATCCATCCATCCATCCCTCCATCCTTCCCTCCATCCATCCATCCATCCCTCTCCACCCGTCCATCCCTCCACACCCCCTTCCATCCATCCCTCCATCCCTCTCCTTCTCTCCATCCCTCCCTCTCCCCATCCCTCCACCCCTCCCTCCCTCCATCCCCCCTCATTCCCCCATCCCTCCCTCCCTCCCTCCCTCCCCGGCGGCTGCAGTTTCCTCTCCCGCCAGCAGCGAGCAGCAAGTGGATGCTCGATCGGGGCGCACACGCACACACACACACACACACACACCACACACACCCGCACACACCCCGCAGGCAGGCAGGCAGGCAGCGGGCGGGCAGCACGGGCTTCGCGGGGCTACCGGGCCGCCCCCCCCGCCGCATGCGGGTCCCCGCCGCCCCGCCGCCGCCTCCCGCGGCCCCCGCGCCCGCCCCGCTGCCGCCGCCCGCCGCCGCCGCCGCCGTCTGATGAGCCGCGGCCCCGCCGAACCGGGCAGCCGCCGCCCCGCCGCCCGCCGCCATGTACCTGCACCCGGAGGCTGCCCCCGCAGGTGAGCCCGTGGTGCGCAGCGCCGAGCACCGCGCAGCGGGAGAAGGGGATGGGGCCGCTCACGCACGCACCGGGGCTCGCCTCCCGCTGCCTCCCTGCCCCGGCTCCGCCGCTGGGACCGGTCCCCGCTGCCCGGCTTCCCCCCCCCCATACCCCACCCCACCCCTCCTCGCCTCCCCGGTTGCGGCTCTGCCGGAGTGACCGGTCGGGAGTTACGGTAGTTTAGGGACAAAGTCACTGTGGGATGAATCACCGCCCTGCAGAGCCCATGGAGACCCGGTGGCACCGGACACCACCACCCCGCATCCCGGGGACACCCCCCACCGGGCCAGCTCCCCGCTTTACAGGGCAGCCCCCAGCCCTGGGGCAAGCGCCTGGTGAGCCCCCAGCACCCGGACAAGCATCCAGTGCTCACCCCGCTCCTCCTCCTTCACCCCCTGCATCGCTGTGCGGGTCCCCCAGCCTCATCCCGCTGCATCTCCTCCGCTTGCCGGGGTGGGCAACTGGGGAAGGGGCTTTGGCCGGTGCGGTTTTGCTGAGCTCATGCTCCGAAGGCATCGGTCGGCCCCGTACCGGGGAATCTGGGACGCTACCGGGAAGGTTTCGGGGCTGCCGGCGCCGGCGGCAGCCGGTGCGGAGGGGAAGGGATGCTGCTACCGGTGCGGTGCGGCTCACCGGGGCCTGGCAGCCCTCACCTGCGGTGTCCCGGGGCTCGAGGAGCAGAAGGACACGGTGTCCTGCGGTGGCGTGGGGACGTGCCGGCGCGGCAGCGGGCGAGCACGGATGCAGGGAGAGCGGCTGGAGCGAGCTGCAGGTGCTCGGCAGAGCCAGGCCTGCGGGAGATGCCACGTTTGGGCAGCGTTGGGGACAGCCACACGTTGTCACCCGTGGCCGGTGGCGCTGGCACTGCTGCCCCGGGACCCGGCGGCTCCACACGAGCTGCCTTCGAGGGGAAGTTTCCTCCTGCCCGCAGGCTGAGCATCCCTTCCCATCCCTTCCCATCCCTTCCCATTGCAGCCCGGTCCTGGGATACCCCATCCCTAGGAGCCCGCAGGGATGCCCAGCAAGCCGGGCACGGCTTGGCCCAAGGTCACCGGGTGGGTTGGTGGCACAGTGGGGACAGCGGCTTGTTCCCAGCAGCAGCACTGTGGCAGAGCTGCCCTTCCCTGCCAGAGCTGAGGTTTGCACTGGTGTTATTCCCCCTCCAAACTTATCTGCCCCCTTGTCCCTGCCCCATGTCCCTTGGTGCTCTGTGAGCACCACCGGCTGCCTGTGCCACTGCTGCCCTTAAGGTTAAAAGGCAGAGCCTGAGCTGCTGGGGCTTTTGGGGGGTGCAGACCCCCTTGTCCCCCATTCCCAATCCCCCCCATTCCCGGCTGCCGGGTCTCCCATCACGTGGGAGTTTTCCCACGTCAGCGCCCGCGGCTGTGCCGTGGTGCCTGCAGCCGTGGGGTGCTGTGGTGGGGCCCGGCTGGTGCTGGGACACCATCTGCTCCCTTCCCTATTTCCCTCCTTGCTCCTGCTTTTCCTCCTGTGCTGCTGCTCGGCCACAATGCTTGTGGGTGCCGGGTCTGTCTCCCAGTGATGGAGCTGGGGGGGTGATCCTGGGGGCTCACCCCCCCACACACACTGGGCATGGTAAGAGCCACGGTGCAGCCTTGGGTGAAGCATTGCCTGTGCCCCCAGCACAGCTCCTTCAGCTGGACGTGGCACCAGCCTCGTCCCCTGCTCTGTGTCACTGTGGTCCTCAGCCCTGGGTGCTTTTTTGGGGGGGAGAACATGCCATAGGGGGAAATTTGGGACACTTGAATGCCATCTGCACTGGGCTTTGTGATGGGGATTCAGGGGTGAGGTAGAGCTTGGAGGTGATGCTGGTGATGGCAGGTCCAGTTCTGGGGTGGGAGATGCCTGAGGGAGCCTTGGTTAGGGAGAGGTGTTGGGGTTTGGGATGGAGCCGAGGTGCTTCCCAAAGCAGCTCCCTCCAGCTGGGGGCTGTGCTGCCGACGGGGCCATCATCCCCTGATGGGCCGAGTGCAGAGCAGAGATTGGGTTTGAAGACAAAGGTGCCCTCTGTGCCACAGGGACAACGTCCCCCGCGCCAGCTCCGGGGACACCAGGCATCACTCTCCTCCTCCCTTCTTCAATGCAAGACACCCCCCCCTCCATCCATGTCCCTCTCCATGGAGGTGGTTGCACCCCAGCTGCTTCAGAGAGGTTCGGGGGGGGGGGGGGGGGCTGGCTTCCCGCTGCCCCACATCCCCGTGTCCCAGGCTCCATTCCTGCCGGAGCAGAGCCGTGCTGCTGCCGGTGGTGAATCAATAACCAGGCTGCTGCCTGTTTTCCCCCCCGCGCTGTCTCGGGGTGAGCGATGGAGAGGGCTGTGCCATGGGAGCACGTCCCCAGGGCTGGGACAGGAGCCGAGAGCCGGGTTGGAAACGAGCTGGAATGCCCTGAAGAGCGAGACGGGGGGCCGGGATGTGCGGGGAGACGTTGGGAGCATGGGGAGGGGGGGAAGCGCGGCAGCAGCGGAGGCAGACAAAGAGCCGAGGGCTGGGAGCCAGGCACCTGCTGCAGCCACACGTCCCGAACGGTGCAGGCTCAGCGCTGCTGCCTCCAGTTCTCCCCCCCCCCCACCTCCTTGGTACCCGCATCCTGCATGGGGTTGGGGTTCTCCTCCCTCCCAGCCTCTCCGCAGCACCTCGAGCCTAAGGGATGCTCCTGCCTGCATCCCCAGAGCATCCCCACGGCCTCACCGTGTCCCTTTGTCCCCCAGCGCTCATATTCCCCCCCCCCGTGACGGCTCCATCACATCCTGTACGGCAGTGGGGTGTCCATATAGAGCCCCCTTTTGGGTCTTCTTCCCCTTCTCCCTCCCAGGGGTCCTTGCCTTGTGTCTCCCCCTAATCCATTCATTAGGGGGGGTGACCCCCAAGCAGACATGTGTCACGCGTGGGGCGGCCGATGCACAGTGCATGTCCCATAGCCCCGTGTATGACTTGGGGACTGCAGGGACAAGGTTGGGGGGTGTCCACAAGCAGGCAGGGGGTCTGCTTGATCCCCCCCCCCCCAATCCCCATCCCCATCACACCAAGGAGCAGGATTGGAGCTGGAGGCGGCTTCCCACCGCCACATCTCGCGGCTTTTCGGGCTGGCAGGGAAGGGCGGGGGAGCAGGGAATGAAGACAGATGCAGATAATATCACTGCCACCCCCCCCCCCCCCAGCCCCTGGGGGCTCAGCTACAATATCTATTATAGATGCATTCAGCAGGGGAAGGGCTTCGGAGAGCAGCCGCCAGCCACCGTGCGTGTGCGAAGGCAAAGCAGCACCCAAAGCGTGGAGCAGGGGCCGGGCTCCCTGCGTTACAACTTGGGGGGCTCAGGGAAGGGGGTGTGGGGGGGTGTGGGGTTGGAGGTGGGCGCAGGGAGCAGTGGGGCAGGCTGAGCTGGAGCAGCACATCCCGCTGTGGGTGTGAGCGGGGTGGTGCAGGGGTGCTGGGTGCCCGCCTTGGGGTGCGCGCTGAGCACCCCATCCCCTCCTGTCCTCTGCTGCTGCAGGAGGGAGAGGGGTCACCTTGGGGGGAGTTAATGAGGTTTGAAAGGGAAGCGGGCGGTGGTGGTGACGGGGATGGAGCCAGGGTGGTGCCAGAGGGACAGGAGCCTTCTCCCGAGGCGGGGGGGGACACGACACACAGCTCTCTGGGGGGGGGGGGGGGGGGGGGCTCTGGGCCCCCTATAATGGGGTGCACTCAGTCCATGGGATGCTGGTGGCATTGGGGCGGTGATGGGTGGCTGTCCCCACACCTCCATGTGTGTCCATGCCCGCTGCCCCGGGGGCTCGGTGTGTGTCACTGGAGGATGCAGCCCCGGGAGCAGGGTCTGCAGGAGGGTTTCCAGCAGCCCCCATGTCCCCCAGGCACCTGCCCACACCTCTGTGTCCATCTGGAGCCTTCCTCTGCCCTTTATTCCCCTCCTCTGCCTCCTCTCTCCTCCCCTCCGAGCTGCGTTTCTCCATCTTCCCATGTGCTCTGCTCCCTCCCACCCTCCTCTTCCTCCCTCATCACCCCCCCCCCCCCCCCCCTTATTTTGGGTGCTGCTGCCGGTCCTGAGCTCCCTATGGGGCTCTTCTCCCCCTCATGGTGACCTTCTTGGCCGCAGCATCAAGTGGGGAAGCAAACAGGGGCCAACGGGGCTGGGTATGGCCGTGCGGAGCCTGCTCATTCCCATCCCTCGGGAGCCTCTGGCTTTGTGCTTCCCTCTCTCCCGCTGTCACCCGAAGTGCCCGGCAATGATGGAGGACCCTGGGGCTAGAGGCTAAGTGGTGGTGGCGGCGCGGCGGCGCTCGGGCTGGCAGCGCTGCTGGCTACGAGAGCCCAGCCCCGCTCCTCCGAGCCTGCTGCCGCCGAGCGCGGCCGTTCCCTGCCTGCGGGAGGTGAGGCTCAGGGCTCAGGGCTTAGGGCAGAGATGACCCGGAGCAAGGCTGAGCAGGAGCCGAAGGGGTGCGGAGCATCGTGAGGCTTGAAACAGGGAGGGTGATGGATGCAGATCCGATGGGGTTTGGACATGAGGGCAGGAAGTCCTTGGGGGAATGGGGGGGGGGGGGGGGGGTGAGGAAGGAGGGATGCGGAGGGGACCACGGAGAGGAGAAAGCAGCCACACGTCTCTCCGGAAATCCTCAGCCAAAAATAGCTCGGCACCGGGGGAAGGAGCTGCCTTCGCTTGCCAAATCCTCCCTCCACCGCCAGCTCCTGCTTGTGGCTGCCGTGGGGTCTGCTCTGCCGTGGGGCCGTGTGCCGGGAGCTGCCGGAAGGCCGGGACAGCGCAGGGAGTGGGGATGCTGGCGGGCAGCATTGGGGCTTGGTGATGGATGTGGCCTCAGCATCCTCTCTCCGTGACCGGGCGGTGATGAGAGCACACACTGGATGCTGGGCCCTCTGGATTGGCTCTCCATAGGGAATCATAGGCTGAGCCCATCCTGATGGGCATGTCCCATTGGCAAGAGG